CAGATGATGTGATTACAGATGTACAGAATCCTAATCAACCTAGGACTAAATTTAGCAAACGTAAATGATCATAAACAAAAACCAACTATCTAAGAGGTAGCAAAGAACCTGATTTTAAAAATGTTAAATTCCATGTACAATATAATCAAACAACTAAAATATTTTGGGGTGTATTTCATAAAAGATAGTGAAACACTATAAAACATGGCTGAGAAATTTAAAAAGACCTACATAAGTGGAGAGACAGTATTTATGAGTCGGCATATTGTTAAGATGACATTCTGTAAGTCTTTTTGTTAAAAAAAAAAAAAAAAGGCAAATACTTGAAATGTAAACAGATTCCTTATAAAGACAAATAGCCAAAACACCTAGTACTTTTAATACTAGAACATACCCAGTACGTTAAGTACTCAAAGGCAGGACTGAAAGTTCTTTCTAGCTTCTATGTCTTCCACAAAATCTAGCAAAAAGCCTCAAGCATTCATCTCGTGAATGCTTCCTGAACTTGATCTGACAGTGAATGACAGGGCTGAAATGACCACTCAAGTACTTGAAAATGATAAACTACTCCTGAGGCATCAGCTACAGCATCACTTGATTTCTAACAGAAATCTACTTGGAAAACAATAAAGTCAGATTACTCATTAGGTTAGTAAAAGCTTACTATCCCAAAAGGAAGTATATTCACTTACATTCTGCTAAGTCACTACCAATTGAAAATATGTAAAAACTTATGCAAAGCTTTTAAGATTGGTTTTAAAAATTAATTTTGTGGCTCCGAGAAGTAGCACTCATGCTGTGTGTACCACTCAAAGTCTGCTGAGAGAGGACAGTATTCATGCGGCTGTGAGGCTGTCCAGGCCTGACAAGTATGGCCAGACGGCAGAAGGTCCTCTCACGCACTGCAGGAGACAAGACTCCTGCAAGGAGAATGAGCTGATCAGTTTGCCCATGAGAAGGAAATGAAACAAATAAATCCATTTTATGCAACTGTTTTCTATCTTGGGAAGTTAAACTGTTGAAGATGCTTAGGATGCAGGGTATCATGCTAGTCTCACCACATGCCTTTTCTAATTGGCACCATGGAAGATTTCACAGAAAAAGGGTGCTACTTTGGTATTGTTGATGTAAAGGTTATCTAGTCACCGTGAGGCAGAGGAGAATTCATCTTTCAAAATTCACCTCCTCACTGAAAGTACACGGAGTGTCTTGGCAATTAACAATTCCTATCACCTATAGCTGTTCCCTATGTGAGAAGGCTCAGAACTCCCCTTACAAATTGCTCTTTTGAAGATCAAAGGGAAGCTGAATGTGTCTGTTGTGCTCTCGATGAGACTGTAACTTAATGGAATTTCTAGAGAAGGCTTTGCTGGCAGTGCTTGGATGACAGCCCCGGGCGGAGGATTCAGGGGAGCTTGGCCACCCTTCCCTTCGGAGCATCTTCCCTGCCTTTAATTGGCACCTCATTAGAAATTAATGAAAATGACATCCTCTGTTCTTCCTGCTCTAGGCATGGAATGCTACAAAAAGGCCCATCACAATTCATAACACATTCAATTTATACGGCAATGGCTCTTAAGCATTATTTATGAGATGTGAATTTCTTGTCAGCAGTTAATAACCTGTACAGAGTGGAAGGGGAAATGGGAGAAAAGATTGTGAATCTGTATAAAAAAAAAAAAAAAAAAAAAGATTTGGAGTGTTCTGTTTGAGTTCAAGCTACCTTTCTGAGTCTTCACTTTGAATAGTAAATTACTGTGGTCCCCTCTTCCTTAACCTTTCAGGGCTATAAAATGTCTCCCTAACACTTTATGCATCCTCAAGGAAATAACTACACAACTTACCCTCTCCTAGAGAGATCCAAGCCAGCACACAGGAGGAACCTAGGAGCTACTTGTCCAAGGCAGTCCCCATGTATGTTCCAACTACTGCCCTTCATTTCTTAAAGTGTGGCAGCAGACTCACTTTGCAGGATCCATGGCTTAAGACTTTCACAGCAGACCAAACTGAACTCATAGGTCTTGATTTAAGGCAGCTCTTTCTGCAAAAAGCTTGGTGCTTTCTTCAACAAAAAAGCCAGTGCTCCCTTAAATAGACTCTCCGAATTGGGCACTATTTGACCAAGTATTAGTTACACAAAAAAGAATGCAATTCTGTGGCAAACCAACTGCCTTGTGCTCAGCAGAACAACCAAGATAGTTTGACAGTCAAAAGTTGGTTTCACTGAGGGCACAAGAAGTCATCAAACAACTGTGTCTGGATTTTTTCAGCAGGGCACCAGAACCTTGGGAAAAGAGGTTGGAGTTGAACAGTAAACTGGGAGGCCTAGTTATACTGCCTCAGGGTCTCAACACTAAACTGTGAATTCCTTCTGCAGGTGGCCTGACAAGTAGAGGAAGCATTAGCTACTGCTGGAGGCAGGACAGCAGGCTTTTGGACCAACTGCTTGATCTGCTATGGCAAATTCTGTGTAATACCTGGGATTCAGTTACTTTCAAGAAAAGAAACAAGATCATAAGGTAGAGAAAAATCCCACAATTCTGAGGAGCAGTAACTAAAAGCCTACATTACAAAGGCCACAGGCAAAAGGTCCAGGTAGGTTTCTCAATGCTGTTAACAAACCAAACTGGTGAAATTCTCCTATAACTCACAAACATAGAAGCAAGAATCTGGAGACTTCAAAGATTACACTCTTTCATGTAGGGCAAAGCTGGTTATCATCAGGCCTTAGAGCTTCCTTGGCTAAGCTTAGTATCCCTGACCTAAGAATTTAAAAATTACCTGGTAAGGTTGATTAAAATATAGCCTAAGCACAAGGTTCTGGCCTCACTTGGACCATACCACATACATGGGCCATCTTTATAAGATGTGAATTTCTTGTCAACAGTTAATAACCTGTTATTAATAATAACCTAAAATCTGAAAACTGCTAAAAACTGCTAGCACTCTGCTTCTACCACCTATCTTAACCCCTTCCTTCACATTTTCCCATAATAGCATAACTGAATGTCCTAAAAGAACTGCTACTTCTCCAGACATCCCCCCCTACTGCTCCCTATTCCTACAGTTGAAGATGTTCTTCTAACTCTGTGGAACCAAACACACCACAGTGTGACAAACAAAACACCTGGGCTTCCCAGAAAGAGGTGTCTCAATTTAGTTTCCATGAAAAGCTAGCAACCCCCCTTCCCCTCCCATTTCCAGTAGGACAGACAATTGAGGGACAGGAGCAGCAAAGTCTATCTCTTAAGACAGAGAACTTCCAGGGAGTTTAGTTCTCATGGCCGCCACTGCCACTGCCACCACTGCCACCACTGCCACACTTGGAGGGTTATCTATGGATATCCTAAAGGTAAAAGAGGGCTTTAAAAGCTATTGTTCAGGGATGAGAGGATTCTCAGAGGCTAGAGCCAGGTCCAAAGTCAACATGATGACAGTTCTGTTCCATGGACCAACTTTATAATATTATACCTTAAAATCAGGAAATAGAAACAAGGACAAAAAAAAAAAAAAAAAAAAGTGTGTCAGTCTAAAGTAACACAGTTACACAATTTTACTCCTGTATGACATATGTGGTCAAGAAGAGAGACGACAGCTGGGCATGGTGGTGCACGTCTGCAATCCCAGAACTCAGGAGGCTGAGGCAGGAGGATCATTGCAAGTTCCAGGCCAGCCTGGGCTACAAAGTGAGCTCAAGGTCAACCTGAGCTTCATAGTAAGAACCCTGTCTCAAAAAGGCAAAAAAGAGAAGAGAGAAGGGAGGAAAGGAGAGGGAAGGGGAGAGGAGGGGAGGAATGCCAAGTCTTGTTTCATCATAGGTAGGCATACACCTTTCTGCAGGCATCCTAAGAGGTAGAATCACACTAGAAAATTGAGAAGAAAAGGTTACTCCGACAGTAATTCAAGGTGTCAACTCACTGACTAAACTTTAGCTCAAAGAAAGCAATTTTCTAAGCAAACCTTAGAGGGTATTGATATATAATAGATAAAAAAGGTGGGTTCTTTTTTTATAATTGAGTACTGGGGCCTGGGATTTGGCTTAGCGGTAGAACACTTGCCGAGCAAGCTGGAAGCCCTGAGTTCGGTCCTTGGCACCAAAACCAAAAAATAACCTCTCATAATGGAATACTATTCAGCTATAATGAAAGATAAACTTGAGACTTTTATAGGTAAATGGGTACAACTCAAGACCATACTCATAAGTCAAACCACACCCATACATGTAAACATCAGACTGTCTCACTAGTGTGAGACCCTGAAAGAGTAAACAAGATTGCAAATGTATAATAGATTTTGTGAATAGGGAAGAAACTGATCTAAAGAAAAACTGTGATGGAAGAAAAGATAAAGGTAAACATATATGCAAACACAAGACAGTTAAGATAGTTACACAGCTGGTCTCTTGGTTCACTGAGGGAAAATTTTTGTGCTAGTAACGTTTCAGGCCTGTATCTTGTACTTTGCACAATGACTGTGAATGTAACAATACACAATGTGCTGAATATTGTTACTCTCCTATTAGTCTGTTTTGAAACCATTTTCTTGTTATTTCTTGCTTTTTTCTGTTCAAAATAAACTACAAATAAGTAACTTTTAATTAAAGGGATATAGGGAAAACTCTTTATTATAACTAGTAAGAAGATCCTTCTATTTAACATGTATAATATATAACCCACATTTGTTCACTGAGGGAATTTCTACAACAATGAACAGAAGAAACCAGAGTTATGCAGGCACAAGGACAAGTTGAAAGCAGAAAGTAGTGATACAGTAACTTAGTATGTTAAGTAGTAGTAAAATTTTTTTTGCTGTGTGAGAAGAAAAGAGGAAATGGAGGTTGTTTTGAGTCAAGAACACTAAATCCTAATCTCCCAAACACTTACAAGGAGGTACTGGGGGAGGGAAGGAAGGATGTCAGCCCCTCAGGTATAGCTTCCAAAGCTGTGCAGAGTAGGGTGTTAAGGATATAGTCTCCATCACGCCCATGGGGAGAGGCTTACCACAGCGACACGATCCCAATTCCTGCTGCACCAGCTCCAGTTTGGTTTGGCACTGGTAGCACCGACGTCGACTCTTCTGTTTAGACCGGCTGACTTCCTCAGATCGTTCGGTGCTCTCCAGTAGTCGCGGCCGTTTCACTGGTGAAGCCTCATTCTCAGACTGTGAATCTAATCAAAACAACACATTAGAGATCACTATTAGGTCTTGCCCTAGCAAGCAAAACTGATTAATATATTGCTAAGCACCACCCCTATCTAAGGAAGGAACTGGACCTATGTGCGCAGGGAGGCACAGCTGTTTTATTTTTGGTTTTCTAACATAGACTCTATGCAGTTCAGGCTGGCCTCCAACTCATGGCAATCCTCCTGCCTCAGTGCCTCCCAAAAGCTGGGATTAGAGATGTGTACCACCACCACCACCAGCAAGAGAGCCTGTTTTCTGTCTGTTTATATAACATATAATCTGCAACAAGCAAACACCTTCAGGGCTGACTTCTAACAAGTCAGGCCTGAGGTGAAAGGAAAGCAGGGTCGGGGGATCACCAAATCAATTCTGCTGCTGTTGTTTTAAAAAAATAGTTAAGTTTCTTGCAACTTTGTAAAGGTATAAATAAAGGCCCTTACTATTGTTCTGGGGTTGTCTCGTCAACCAGGTAGATAGGCTACCACCTGACAAAAAACCAGCCAAGTTTTCCTGAGGATACTATTCCAGCTGGAAATGGGATCCTCTATCTGAACCTCTTCTTTGGACCGTACATGCTTGCTACTTGCATTTGGTAGTTTACCTCTTCTTCAGTATCTGCTCGTCCTTAAGTGAACTGTAATTCTTTCAGAGAAGAAACTATAACACATATTGACATCACTGTACTTTAGCACAATCCCATGCTGAAAGCATTTGTTAGAAGACATAATCTTTTCTAGGAAGATCACTGATGTTTCCACTTCTAAACACACAAGAACAAAGCTCTAGTATCTAAAATAAGCCCCCAATTATTCAGTGAAGGGGTACCCTGCTCATCCCATGGCTTTCCTATGAGTGTTACAAGGCAGCAACTAAGCCCTGAGCCAAGGGCTGTGTCAAAAGGGCAGGTGAGGGATATGCCTGACAATTTGTGTCTTAGAACATCAAAAAAGAAACTAAAATGCGTTAAGTCCAGCTCACAAGCTGGTTTCAAATAAACAACTGGTTTCAAATAAAGGGGAGCACTTGGGGGGCTCTGGGCTCCTGAACAGCCACCATTACATACTGGGAGGCAGTCCTGAAAATAATCCTGATCTAACCCTTCTCAGCTCTTCGATACCCCTGCCACGGTCTAAGCCGTCACCATCTCACCTGGCCTAGCACAAAAGCCTCATATCTCGTTTTCCTGCTCACCTTTTGCCCCCCACAGTCTGTTTCCACAAAGCAGCCAAGTGATCTCATATTAGAATCACTTCCCTGCTTAAAACCCTCTACTAACTCTCCTTAGAGTAGAAGGCCTTGCCTAATTTGCCCTCCCCTATGTTTCCATCTACATTAGCCGCCTGTTTCCTGCATCTATAGCTTTCACCTTCAGCTCCTCTCTGAAATATGCACCTCCCAGGTTTACATGAGCCCCTGTAAGTCTCTGCTTCAAAGTCAGTTTCAATGGAAGTCATCATCGTCTTCTGTGTGTGTGTGTGTGTGTGTGTGTGTGTGTGTGGAACTGGGGACTGAACTCAGGCCCTTGCACTTGCCAGGGAGGCACTTATTCTACTGAGCCATCTTGATCACCCCATCTACCCCACCCCACCTCCTGCCTTGCATTTGTTCTTTAATGTTACCTCTTAGAACATTGTGAACTCTAGGAGGGCAGAAGCTCACCTGCTGTTTCAACAAGCACCCTCTATGGCTACAATGCAATAAATATTTCTTGAATGAATCTTCTCCTAGGCAGTCCTGATTTTCTATGTAAAGTGGTCTGCGTGAGAAGCCACTGCACATCGCGTATATTTAGTGCTGTTTGCCTTTCCCCAGCCTCCCGGTGTGAGAAGGACGATGTACTTCCCCCAAGATCTTCCCCAGCTCCAACAGAAAGGGTCAGTTTGCTCGAAGACCGACTCCTACCACCTGGTGCACCAGTTTATAGATGGCCTGAGCCATTCTTGGCAACTGCAGGCTTCAATTTTCATCTCTAATTCCCACAGTCTTACATGACACTTCCCTCAATACAAACTGACTAAATAAGGACTCTGATGAAAACAACTGAAAGCAAGTTCAACCTATCTCCTAGCTCTGCTGAGCAAAACTGTCCAGAGCCCATCCAAGTGGCCATCGAAGCAGCCACACAGGCTGGCCCCCTTCCCTTTCTTGTGTGAGAGAGCAACAATCTCAATGTAAATCATTATAAAGCAGTCAGCAAAACAGAATCCACCTTGTATGAGCCACACTGCTCCTAGGGGTCCTTTTCTACAAACCAGCAATGGCACTATTTGTATTAATAACCCTATTTAGACATACTTATTTTGTGTACCAAAAAACATATTCTTGAGTAAAAGCCACAACAAGAAAAGCCGTCTGCTCTGCAACAAGGCCCTAAATCTGACACATCCTTGTAAGAAAATTACTGAGGTATCTCCATGAACACTTTTGTTTGCAGAAAATGTGGTTGGTAAAAAGAAACAATTGGCAAAGTTTTGTTTTTGTTTGCAAACTCTACATGGGTGAAAAACACAACCACAGCTAACTTTCCCATATAAACACAAATGTGGCTTTTACAAAATTATTTTTAAAAAAAAATTTTTTAATTAACTGAGGTACCACTGTATCCTCCAGCCTGGGGTAGAGGGATTGGGAGGTGGTTAAAACATTTTTATTAACACTATCAAAATCTGGAGGGTTGTGGCATGGTGCTAGCACACTGAACATAAAAGAAGACCACTCAGACCCTGAGACTCTCTTCACATCTTTGATAGAAAGGTGTGTTTATGGAAATGCAGTTGACTTTCCTAGCTCTTTCCCCAAAGTCTGGCCTAAATTGTCAAATGTACTGCCCACCTGCAAAGCACCCACTTCCATTTCTAAAGCAAATCTCTGCTGCAAACAGAAAACCATTTAATTTCAAGTAGCGATATAATTGGAAGGGAAGGAGACAGGAGGGGAGGGGAGGGGAGGGGAGGGGAAGGGAAGGGGAGGGAGAGGGGGAGGCGGAGAGGGAAGGAGGGAGGGAGGAACCCTTCGATGTGATCTACAGTTATTTTCAAATAAACAAGAGATACATGACCAATTTTCTCATTGTATGACCCCATGATTGGGAAATAGAGTTCATATTTATATAACCACAACCACTCACTGGTCATCACCAAACAAGTGTTTTAATGAGGTCTATCCAGTAGTGACCACTTTTTCTTCAATTCCTCACCGTATCTGATCAACCAATATTAATAACACTAATGAATAAATCTACATGGTTCTGTGCGGAGATTATCCTTTTTCCATTCCATAGTAACATAAACACTACTGAGTTATTTGTTCTGGTTGGTAGCAGGTTTGGGAAATCCCTCAAATAATAGGTCTAGGGGAGGTTTCCGGCTACACTGCATTGGCTGTCTTAAAGGAATACCACTGAGCTCTAGTTGGTTCTCTGAGTCAAAACCCAGCATCTGTCTGTTCAAGTCACAGCTAAAGGATCCATGTAAAAATAGTCTGAGCTGTGAGAAGTTGTCCTAAAATACACCAAGACAAAAAAAATGTCTAATATGTGTTATTTTTTAAAAATCAAGGAACTATTCTCAGATATAACAGAGGTCCACAATTTTTAAGTTCCAAGGAAGGAGGTGAAATTAAACCCAAACTGATTACTGGTCTCCACATGCTGCCATGAAGGAAGGTGGTTATGTTATATATATAACTTCTAGGGAAAGCAAACCATTCACTGGCATTTTCTCACAAATCATCTTACAGTTTTAATTGGAAGCAAATGAAATAGTCTATATGAGCATCATCATGTCTGCATATGAAATTCACATCTCTTCTGTAAATTACTTAATGAAAACTTGTGTTGTGGGGTGAGCTGCCTTCAATAACAGAAACAGATGCCCAGAAAAGGAGTTCTAACTACACAATCATGAACTAAATAATTCCACTATTCAATTCAATTTTCTATCAATTATAAAAAAAAGTGTAAGAAAGAAAAGAATCCAAATATGGTTTGGATCCAAATGTAGAACTATCTACTGTCCATTTTGGTATAAATTACACCATGATTACTCACTTTTTGCTTACAAATATTATTCCTATACCCTAAGGCAGTTTCAATTTCTTGAACAATGACAGAGAGCCTAATTAACCTACTTGCATACTCTGAACTTGTACAGTAAGGGTTAAATGTGGAGAGAAAGGTGAACAGAAATAGATCTCACATGCAGCTCTAACTGTCAAAGGAAACAAGTTCTTGCAAGGAGCATGCTCATTAGCAGCAGGAGGAGCTGTAGTGCCAAGCTATAAACTGTTTCCACCCCAGGAGTTGAGAGTGACTTCTAATTAAGGTCTTTTCTAAAGAGCCAACAAAGCAGATTTTTACCCCTAGTATGCTTTCTCTTGAGAACACAATCTAGTCTGGCTGTATCACACAAAGCCAACAAACTCCCATGCCATGTTCTCCAAACCCTTGTTTCTTGCCCAGTGTTTACTAAGAGGACAAGGATATCACATCAGAGCCTGCAGTCAAAGGAAACTGTGACCAAGGATCATGTGACTAAATGAGGCATGAAAATTTTAAGAAAAATCAGTGTAACTATCAATTTTCTTGGTCTGAAGGTAATCATTGCTTAATTTGTGACAGAGAAACTAAAACAAAGATTTTTGAAAACATTCTGAAGAGAATTTCTTAATTATGCATTCCTAAGCATTGCAGAAAAGTGTTGAGAATTTCAATGTAGGAACACATTTTAACTGGAAAGCTTGACTGGAGACAATAAACAGAGCTACTTTTAAAATTCTGTTTGGTCTCTGACAGAAATTTGTTCCTTACTGTCACTGTTCTTGTCTTTATTACTCATGTTCTCTCCTAAAATTTTCCAAATATATTGTGTCAGGCCTGTCAGAGCTGAATCCCAATCTCTCTTAATCTCCTGTCACCATGCAGCTGGCAGCCTGCACACACCTGGGCTGCTAACCAGGGCTGCGGCCTGCTGACACTTGAGCAAGT